CCCGGGCAGACTAAGCTAGCTTGCTTCGAGCAATTGCGATGGTACGCTTAAAGTGCTTAGGATCACTCGATCGATTTGCAGCGAACTCGACAAATTGCAATCGTCCCAAGATAATAATAAGCACTGCAATTTATATTAGTCCTTGCTTTCACTTGTGCGAAAATGCATCTTTGCTAGTGCCGAGTGCTTAGGATCACTTGATCTAGAGAACACTTGACCTTGTAATTTATATTAGTCCATCTTTTCTAGTGCTCTGCTTTGTTGTTTGCTCATGTTTGCAAAATGCGGTTTGGTTCTGGTTAGGATTGCGAAGGCTCTGTTTCATGCTCGTTTGGTTCCAAAGTACAAGATGTTTAATTAGGCGGTTGTGTTTTATAGATGGAAAAAGCATCAAAACCTCAAGCAAAATGGGATTCTTTTTGTCGCCAAAGTTTTCAATGAAATATGCGTAGAAGAAGTGCTTGCCCATAACAGCCACACAATTGCTTGAATAGTGTGGGTTATGCTAATTTGGTGAAGAAGTTCTTTGAGCAAACAAAGAGGTCATATGACAAAGAGCAAATGAAGAAACAGATGGGATGTCTTGAAGAAATATGCATAGTGGAAGACCTTGAACATGAGAGCCACTGGGTTGGGAAGGGATCCTGTGACCGGATGTATTTCTGCCAGTGATGAATGGTGGACAGAACAAAATGCGGTGAGTAGTTAAGATGTCGTCTTTTGTATTTTAGTACTCAACGGCATGTCATCCTCTAATTGTTATCATTTAATGTTTCAGGCTATGCTAGGATGTATAAGTTTCAAAACTACAGTTCTTGAGCACGAGGAAATGATGCGGATAATGTTTGATGCTATTAGTGTGACTAATGAGACATCCTATGTTCCTGGAAGTGGTCCTGACAATGGAGAGGGTGAGGAGCATGAGGCCAGTCATGGTGATGGTGATAGTGAGAGAGTCGAAGGGAGAGGTTCACCACATGTCACACCAAATGCTAACAAAAGGCCAGCTCAAGGTTCCCCCTCTGGAAAGAAAAAGAAGATATACAGAGATCAACTTATGAAGAGGTTGGTCGACACATATGAGAAGAAGACCCAAAGTAGTAAAAAATCAGCAACTTCTCACGCGGTTGATCATGTTAGAGATGAGATTGGGGCTATGTTGGAGCAAGTCATTAACGATGGTGCTGAAGAAGGGAGTGATGAACACTACTATGCCACCCAATTGCTTAAGAAAAAGGAAAACCGTGATGTGTTCGTTACTTTGAAGACACCAAATGGGAGGCTTAATTGGCTGAGGCGGGCATGGGAGGATTGGAAAATTTAGTGTTGTTATGTAGTAGTAAAATAAATTGTTCAGTTCCAGACATTATTTGATGAAAATTTAGTGTTGTAATGGGTACATTATTTGATGATTTATGTCATGACTTTGCTTGTGCGAATAATTATTTCTGTGTATATGCTTCCTCTGTTCCTTTGCTCATGCTTCATAATGTGTACCTATTTTAGGTGCTGAAATCAATATGAGCATCTCCAGTGATGAGGATGCAAGTCAGGATGAATCGGGTACTGATGAGGATTTCATGGTTGCATATATTGCAATGGAATTGATGGGGTCAACAAGCAGTGTTGCAAAGAACAAGGAGGTGGTTCCGGATGTACCAGTCATGACAGGGATACAATGGGTTGAAATCCAACTAAATGATAGAGTGCAGTGCTACAACATGTTTAGAATGACAAGGTCAGTGTTCCATCGCCTTCATCGGACTTTGGTTCAGAATTATAGCTTGAGATCAACTAATGATATTTGTACCAAGGAAGCCTTAGGCTTGTTTTTGTGGACATGTGGTGCACCTCAATCGTTTAGACAAGTTGCAAATAGGTTTGGTCATTCTTTAGAAACTATCAGTAGAAAGTTTAGTGAGGTACTTGATTCAATTTGTAGACTGTCTATTGACATCATAAGACCTAAGGATCCACACTTTGGTACAGTTCATCCAAAACTGCAGCAAGCTAGGTTCTGGCCTCATTTCAACGATTGCATATGCGCCATTGATGGTACACACACCTGTAACTGTACCAAAAAGTGAACAGGCAAAATACATTGGAAGACATGGTTATGCTTCACAAAATGTCATGGTGGTTTGTGACTTCGATATGCGGTTCACATTTGTTGTCACGGGTTGGGCTGGATCTGCTCATGACACTCGGGTATTTTTAGATACTTTAGTCACCTATAGGGATAAATTTCCACATCCACCTGAAGGCAAGTATTACCTTGTTGATTCTGGGTATCCTAATAGAAAAGGATATCTAGCACCTTACAAGGGACAAAAGTATCATGTGCCCGAATGGCAACATGGTCGTCATGCAGTGGGATCGAAGGAGGTGTTCAACTATGCTCGTGCATCCCTCCGAAATGTGATTGAGCGGTCATTTGGAGTTCTCAAGATGAAGTGGCGCACTCTCTTGCAGTTACCTAGCTATCCAATTGAGAAGCAATCAAAAATTATCGTTGCTTGCATGGCTCTTCATAATTTCATTAGAGACAATGCCATATATGATGAACATTTTGAAACCTATGTGGAAGACAATAGTGGTGTTGGGTCCCAAGTTCCTTCAGCTGATGGTGGTGGTTCGACAGATGATATGAATATGTGTGCTTTCCGTGATGCTATTGCTAATGCGTTGGTTGGGTGATTCATTGTTATAAACTTGAGTATTTTGTAGCAATTACATTACCCAAATGGATGTTATTTTCGACTATTATTGTACATTGCAACTTAATGGAGCCATATTGCTATCTGAAACTTTAAAAATATTCACACCATTGTCTTCAGATCATTGTGACGAACCAAAAGAGTTATAATCAGCCGTAGGGGTACATAGGTCAATTTACATCTAGGACAGATAATCTACCAGAAATAATCAGGACAGCCAAACGTCTAGCTTTTTCAGATAACAGATTCTTCAGATCGTGGCTTATCAGATAAGCCTGCTCAGCTTATAAGCAAGACTCAGAAACTGAATCAAACAGGCGCTAAATCAGAAGAGTGAGGAAAATCAGGCAATCAGCGTAGCAAGGATGCCTACATCCGGACGACTGGGCTTATCCCCTGCCACTGTTTGGGCTGCCAAACGGATGGGCTGTTCAGCTGCAGCCCAAACGTCTTAAATCAGAAGCGAACAGACCCAAATTGCTCTGATGAGATTTAAAGGAATATATAAAGTACTCTCTCTGTTTCATTAAAAATGCTATTTTTATTTTCTAAAAGGATTAATTTTTTTAGCTGTAACTAAATATTTATAACAATATATTAATATTTATGATACATGTCGAGTATAATAAGCATCGTGTCTTCTCGACAACGTACATAAATGTCCATACAACCCGCGGCACGAAGCCCACACTTTTGGCCTGACACGGAGCACGGCCCGTCTCGGTGGCGTGCGGGCCGGCTGGCACAGCCCGTAGTAGCAGGCTGTGCTTGTCTCAGCACCCAGACACGTGGGCTGGCACGAGACGGCCCGTTAAAACCATCTAGGCCCGATAAAAACCCGCAAGTATATATAAAGTGCTTTTAACTTTTAACCCTAATTCCCAATTTCCCACTCCAACCGCCGCACCCACGACTCATGCCGTCGCGTAACCCTCGCGGACGCCCCACTCGCGTTCGCGTGAGCCTCCTCCCCTTCCCTCGTGGGCGTCCCTTGTTCTCTCTCTCCTTCCTTCATTTCTCTCGGATCGAGTGCGACCATGGATGACAGGAAGAGCAGCCCCCAACCTCAGCGAGTCAGTGGTGGCGTGCGGCCCTGCTGTTACCATGGCGAGTCGCCATCGCCGCCCTGCGCCGACGAGGAGCAAGCTGGAGCCACGCGCGGGAACGGCATTGGCGCTACTGCGGTTGTCGCGGTCGGCCTACGGTCGGCTCGGCCCTGCTCCGTCCCGCCGCCGTCCTGCCCCTGCCTCCTTCCCTCTTGACCTCTCATTCCCTCTCAAATCGGCCTGAGGGGCCGTGCCTATGCCGTTGGCTTGACATGAAGCACGGCCCGGCCCGATCGGGCGTGCCGGGCGTCCCGAATGGCCATCTATGTCAGCTTATTTGGTACTGACAGTGGCGGACCCAGGATCTGACACCAGGGTAGTCCTAGTAAAAAAATTTCATATGTAATACTATAAAATCCAAACAAAAGTTCGACAAACTTAGCTATAAATTAACCAAATTATGATTATACATTTAAAAGGTTGGAAACTTACATAAATACTCCCTCCATACTGGTAAAGAAAATCGTTTAGAACATGATTTAGCATACAAGAAGTGATTAATTAAGGGGTATTTTCCCTTATTAAATAGGGTTGCGGGTATTGCCTATCCAACAAACTTTAAGTAGCTAGGATTGGTAAGTCTTGCTGCAGCCCGAGGCAGAGGTCCCCCCAGTTCGATCCCTCTCAGGCGCGTTATTATTTTGAAGAGCTTGTGGATTTACGATGTCTTCGGCCTGGGCTGAGACGAAGGAGAGCATTTGGGTCAGTTTCTCAAGAGTAGTAATAGAATTTTAGGCTAAATTTGTGGGTAGTCCTGGGCCTATCCAGGCTGCCCACTGGGTCCGCCACTGGGTACTGATCTGTTCTCCAATCACATTATACCATGTGGCACGCAGGTAACTAGGCAAGCAACGTACGGCAGCAATACGCGTCGCGCATGCACATGTTTGGTGCCACGCCAATTCCGGAAGCTTCTCCCACGCCCTTCGTCCTCAGGAGTCAGGATCCCATCCCATCGTGGTCGCCGCACTGGTTCGACGAAAAGAAGAGAAGGTCTCGACGAATCCGTGACGCCGACGTGGATTTGCTTTTGTACTTCTGGAATCGGAAAAGAGGCGTGCGGTACTGCGGTGCGTGTCCTACCTCTTTCCTCTGCATTGTTTGTTTGAATTGATCGGTCAGTCGAGAGCGCCACCTCGCCTATCATCCCTTCCTCTGCGTCGTCGTTCTCGCCGCCATGGACCTTGCCAACGGGCGAGACGACGCCCTGAATGGAGGCGTCGGTGTGGAGGAGACAAGGAGGAGGAGGTGGAAGGTGGAGCTGGTGCAGGAGGCCATCCATGGCTTCCTGGAGAAGGGGAGCGATAGCCAGGGAGAAGAGAAGCGCTTGGCGGCCAGGCAGGAGGAGCAGGAGCTCCTGTCGTCGTTGCTCACCAAGGTACGTATGCTTCTGTTCCTCGTGCGTCTGGAACTCTGGAATCAGGAATTCAGGATTGTTGCTGATGCTCCGCTGCACGCTGTTCGTTCCCTACATTTGCTCCATCCTTTCTCGATGCAAATCTGAAATGACGTACTGACACCGTTACCTCTTGACAGTTGGGTGAACTAGAAAACGACACAGATTCAGACATCTTGGAACCAAACTCCTCCCACCTGGATCACGAGCCTGCAGGGAAAGGCGAACAGAGCAAGGAGGTGGTGGAGCTCGCTGTCATCGCCAAGGACCTGAACAAGATCAAGAGGCAGAACATGATCACCCACCTGCTCCTCGGCACCGTCATCGTCCTGACGGCCGTGTTTCCTCCTCTGGGTGCAGAGCAAGCTGAGCAACCCCTTCAAGTCCCTGGGGGACATGATCAAGGGCTCACTCATCAAGCTTAGAGGGAGGAGGCCAGTGCTCGAGTCGTCGCCGTTGCCGCTGGCCGGCGTCCCCGATGTCAGCCGTGCTGATCTGCCAACGCTTGTCATCGGCAGCACCGAGGACAGGGCACGTAAATGAACTAGTTGTGTGGTGATCCTAGGATAAAAGGCGACGGATCAGGTGGAAACCAAGCTTATGTGCAAATTTTGGAAACCATCAATCTAGACCGTTGGATCTGCATCCGATGGCTTCAGATAGAGGTGGGCGCGTTTTGCAATTAAACGCCCGCAATTAGCACACTAGTTGCGTTGTTTTGCGAAAACCCCCCAGCGCAAACAGGAGCCTGGTCCGTCGTTCCGGCTGGCAGCGCGTCGATTCGCGCAAGAGCCGCGGATCGCGCGTCCTTCCATCTGGCCGCCGCCGGCGCATCCAGGTCCTTCGACGAGCTGACCCATGCGTCGGCAAGCGATCGGCAAGAGGTTCTTCCGTCTGGCCGCCGGGAGCCGGGCACACCGGGGACGCCGTCGCGCTCGTCGGCAAGCGATCGACCTCCACAAGCTGACCCCTGCGTGGATCGAGACGGTTGTGATTTGGAGTCCGCCGTGGAGTTCGTTGCTACATGAGTCCGGTCCTCCTGTTGGTACGTGAGTGTACCATGGATTCGTTCATGGTTGTTTCGATAGTGAGATGCTTGTAACCAATTTGTAACAGATCAGTCTGTAGGCGAAGGCACGTCAAGAGGCCGTGAGTCTGCGCCGCCGCTGCCATGGAGTCCGGCGCGCGTGACGTTCCCGCTGATGTTGTCGTCGCCGTTGATGCTGTCATCGTCGAAGATCCCGTCTCCATCGAGGCTGCCGCCATGGATCATGTCGCTGATGCCGTTGGAGCAAGTGATCACGTTTCTGCAGATGAACTGGAACATCCTAGCACACCACGGTCAAGTTCCAAGGAAAATTTGAAGGATTGGAATGATCTTTGATACACTCACAGATGTGGAGGATTTCTACAAGTCATATGCACATGAAGCTGATTTCTCAGTTCGTGTTGGTCAGCACAAGAAGCAAAATGACGAAATATTATTCAAGAGGTATTGTTGTTCAAGGGAAGGGTATAGAAAGGAGAACGTAACAAATGTTAGTGATGATTGTGGGAAGAAAAGAAAGTCACATAATATCATGGAAACCAGATGTGGTTGTGAGGCACATATTGTCGTGAAGCTTGGCAGCGACAAGAAGTATCGAATAGCTTCAATGGTTGAGAAACACAGTCATGGTTTTGTGTCGCCAGATAAGAGGCATTTGCTAAGATCCAACCGTAATATCAGTGAGAGGGCAAAGAGTGCTTTGTTCAATTGTCATAAGGCTAGCATTGGCACCTCACAGGCGTATCGACTTCTCCATGTCAGTGAGGGTGGGTTTCAGAATGTTGGGTGCACACTGATGGATTTGAAAAACTATTACCGTGATCTCAGAACCAAAATTAAGGATGCAGATGCACAAATGTTTGTGGCACAACTTGAGCGAAAAGAAGGAAGTAAATCCAGCCTTCTTTTACGAGTTTATGGTGGATGAACAAGGACGACTTGTTCGTGTATTTTGGGCGGATGCTTTATGCAGGAAAAACTAGTGTTTTTGGTGATGTGGTTTCGGTAGATGCAACATATACCACCAACCAGTATAACATGAATTTTGTGCCATTCACTGGTGTCAATCATCACTTGCAAAGTGTTTTCCTTGGGGCAGCATTCTTAGCAGATGAAAAGATCGAGTCATATGTATGGTTGTTTAACACCTTTCTTAAGGCTATGGGTGGAGTAGCACCTCATCTAATCACAACCGATGAAGATGCGAGCATGAAGGCTGCTATTGCTCAAATTCTACCGGATACAACTCATAGATTTTGCATGTGGCATATCATGGATAAGGTGCCTGAGAAGGTCGGGCCCTCTATAAGAAAAGATGAAAAGTTTTGGGAAAGACTAAACAAGTGTGTTTGGGGGACCGAGAATTCAGATGATTTTGTGTCACAATGGAATTCTATCATAACATATTATGAACTTATGGGAAATGATTGGTTTTCCACTAGGTTTGCCATTCGCGAGTCATGGATTCCGGTATATTTTTTGGACATACCTCTAGCAGGAATGCTTAGGACTACATCACGATCGGAGAGTGCAAATTCTTTTTTCAACCGTTTCATTCGTAGGAAGTTGACCTTTGTTGAGTTCTGGCTAAGGTTTGACACAGCTTTGGAGTGCCAGCGCCAAGAGGAGTTGAAAGCCGACAATGCAAGTCTACACACCACTCCTAAATTGATGACACCATGGGCCATAGAGAAGCAATGTAGTGTGATATATACACATGAAGTTTTCACTAAATTTCGTGAACAAATCTTAGTCATAAGAGACCATTGCATTATTCAAGGTATTTCAGAGAGTGAAGATCAAAAATGTTTCACCCTCAACAGCCAAACTGGAAAAGACCGAGTTGTTCAAATGAACAAGTCAAACATGTTTGGTAGGTGTTCGTGTAAATTATATGAGTCTTATGGCATCCCATGTCATCATATCATACAAGTGCTTAGAGCTGAGAAGCAAAGTGAGATACCATCGTTATATATTATGACGCGATGGGAGAAAAGATGTAAAAGGTGTGTACTTTATTTTTTCTCCTTCTCTGTTTACCTATATTTTCTGTTTTGTACAATAGTCTTGATCAGATATTTAATTTTACAGGGAACTATTCTTTGATGAGGAAGGTAACCTACTAGATGAAAAGCCTAAAGATCCTATGGAGGTGGCCTTGCGGAAAAAGATTTCAGATTCACGCAACAAGTTTGAAGATCTTATTCAAATGGCCAATAACTCCGAAGAAGGGATGCACTTTTTATATTCTAGTTTATCCAACCTAGTCGAGCCTCTCCAAAAGATCACACCTGCTTTGAGAGTTGAAAAACAGGATGAATATGAATCTTTCCTTGGTAGTAAAATTCCAAAAGAGGTCGATATACATCCACCAAATGATGTCAATTCGAGAGGGAGATCCAAAAGAATTAAGAAGAGCAAGGAGACGAAGGAGAAGAAAGCTGAAAGTAAGGGTAAAGGTAATCGGACGTGTCGAAAATGTAAGCGACAAGGGGATCATGATGCACGCAATTGCCTAAACAATGTTGTTGGCTCATATTTCAATTGAACAATGTACTATTGTGTGGCGCCAGCCATGGAATGCTTCTTGAAAACACTTTTAGTTAACTGCAATGTACTTGCTTGTCAAATTTGAGATGTCAATTTGCTCCTTTTTTTTATTCCAGTTCGACTCTACCTTTAGTTTGATCATCTGGCCGAAGCCATAGTTCACAATGTATATGCACAATATAATAGTTTATTTTCAATTCTGTGACTCCACTGAACTGGAATCAAGTTCTTGCATGAAACTGAACTGAACTGCATTTCACAATGCATCCTAACTTAACAGCATACACATCGCATAAAAAATAGCTTGACAAACTTCAGAAGAACCACTATTTGGTTTCCAATAATTCCTACTACAACAGACAGTAGCAGCTAGATGTCCGTGCTGATGCTTGGCTTCACTACTGCTATGTTCTTCAGTGCCTTTTCTCGTTGTCTTCAGTACCCGGCTACAACAGACAGTAGCAAACTAGCAACAGACTGCTATGTTCTTCAGTGCCTTTTCTCATTGGCTTCAGAACTAACATATCAAGCAAGCTGGGCGGAGACGCAGCCGCGGGGGTGAGCTGCGATGGCGAGAGGCGCAGTTCGGCGGCCCGGCAACGGCGTCGAGGCAACTGGGCGAGGCCGCGGCCGCGGTGGTGAGGTGCGACGGCTGAGAGCCGCAGCTCGGCGGGCCGGCAACGACGTCGATCCGGCTCGGTAGGGCGACGGGTGCGGCCAGCCACGCATGGAAGGGCGGTGGCGGCGGAGAAAGGCGAGGCGGAGGGTGGGCCGCTCACGCGGCGGGATCTCGCCTGCGACCGGAGGACCTGGATGCGCCGACGGCGGCCAGATGGAAGGACACGTGATCCGCGGCTCTTGCGCGAATCGACGCTATTGCCAAATGGAACTACGGACCGACTGTGCTCCCTGCTTATACTGGTGGGTTTTCGCAAAACAACGCAACTAGTGTGCTAATTGCGGGCGTTTAATTGCAAAACGCGCCCACCTCTATTTGAAGCCATCGGATGCAGATCCAACAGTCCAGATTGATGGTTTCCAAAGTTTGCACATAAGCTTGGTTTCCACCTGATCCGTTGCCGAGTTTGATTGCTCAAGTTCTGAGAGCATCTCCAAGAGTTCCCTAAACCTCCTTCTAATCCTAAGTTTTTATAAAGATCCACAAAAAATCCATCTCCAATAACTCATAATACAATCTCCTAATATTTTAGGAGTCGGAAAAAATCCTACTCATCCGCGTAACTTTACGCGCCGCAACCTCGCACGTATCCTTGACTCTCGTTCGTTTTCTTCGCCTCCCGCGTGTTTTCCTTCCCGTTCGGTTTCCTTCGCCTCCGCATGTTTTCCCTCGTGGCCAGTCACATCGGTGTGCATGATGAGCACGGAGTAGCTGTTGGGGTCCTTGGGGAGGTGCGCCGTGTACTGCGTGTATGCCGAGCCCGGGTGGAAGAACACGGGGATACAACCGGCCAGGATGGCGTCGAACGAGGACCACCACGTCAGCGTGTCCCCACGCGGCTGCAGGCAGAAGCTCGAGTTCTCGAACACGCGCATGACGCCGCCCGGCGAGCTACAGTTGGCGCCGGTGCCACAGTGGAAGAGCCTGCAATGGCTCGACGGGCCACACTGCTGGATGATCTCTACGCAGACGGTTTCGGTGTTCCCTGGGCGCGGCCCACCGGCGAAGGAGAAGAGCCACTCGCGGTCCGTGCTGCGCACCTTCTCCTGCCAGGCGACCACGTCGGCCGCCGACTCGGGGAGTGCGTCGGGTAGGGGACAGCCAGATTGCGCTTCTGCTTCGGCTTCCACTGGTTGGTCTCCAGGACC